CTTTCCCTTTGTGCCAGGTAAAGGATATTACTGCCCTCAGCTCTGTATGTTTGCTGCTTGTCATGAGCTCCCCAGTCAGATATCATCCCCTCACTAATCTGCCACCTCAGCCAGGTTAGCAATAGGGTGCTGCTCCTTGAAGGTCTGCCTGTTTGCTTTGGTTGAAGATGCTCTGGGGTGCTTGCCCTGGCACTAGGTGGGCAAGGGGACACTTGTAACAGAGGCTGATGACAAGAAGCCTGTTGGCAGCCACTCACCTTTTCTCCTGGCACAGCTGTTTGCAGAGCACCCATCTGCCCAGGCTTGCTGGAAGAGCTGGCTGGATTAATGTAAATGACTCAAACTTGGTTCCATGGTTTTGTTACTAGCAAGGTGCGACTCCTTTAAACACCATGATTAATAGCCAGCATATCTGGGGATAGTTTGCTCATCAGTGGATCCAGCAAATTGCATTTAAGTGAAATAAAAAACTTGAAAAGAGAGTTGAGGAAATGTGTTTCTGTTTATGCAGCCACAGACTTAAGTGATTTGCAAGTGGTTGAACAACTGTTTTTTTATTGTTCCTTAATGGCTCCTGGCATTGCAATGTCCCTGTCTCATGCCAATTGTTCTGAGTAACATTTGGCAAATGGGTGTCCTGAGAGCTCTGTGTCTTCTGTAGTGGGTAGAATGGGGTCACACGTGTGGGAGTGTGCAAGAGGACAAGACCCTCCCTCTTGGGAGGAAGGCTGGGAGGTGGGTTATAAAGGGAGGGACTGCATAGACCCCTCAACTTGGTTGGATGAAATAGGTTGCCTTTGGAAATCCTGACCTGTGCTAGGAAAGCAGGGGCCACATGGGGCTGTTGAGGCAATCACTCTGGTTGGACTGTTACTTTTCCATCCCGGGGCAGAGATACTTCAAAACATCCCCAGCATGTTTTGATTTTGCCTAACTTCAAATGCTGCTGGGATATAACCTCCAATGTACATACTTCCTATTACAGCTATAGATTGACCCTGTGTTTTCTACTTTCACCTGGAGTTTCAGAGGTTGGCTGGTGAAGTGATGCTAGTAAATCTACCACTGAAGATTTATACCAGACCTCTGTTTTTCTTTGATAATGGGTTAGAAAATATCTCTGAATGGAATAAACTGAGTTGACAAAATTGCTTTTTTCCTCTTTTATAATTACATTTTTATTACTCTGGGGGAAGAAAGAATTATACTGTATATTGTATAGCAATATAATTAGAAATCCTGCAGTAAAAATAAAATAAATCCATATTCTTGACCTTAGAGGTCAAGAACAGTAGCGTTCTTGACCTAAAGTTACTAAGGTATTAATCTTTTAAGCTGGTGGGTGCTGCCTAAAGGTTAGGCTGGATTTTGTCTGCAGCAGACCCAGAGCACCCACTTCAGAGACTCAGATTGAGGAGAGCTTAGGTGAGGGTGGCTGGTGAAGGTAGTACTGCTGCCTGTCAGCCCTTCTCTTGCTCCCTCAGCAGCTGATAGATCAAATCCTGAGCTGCCTCAGCTCACAGACATGGTTTTAAGGCAAAACAGGACTGGTGATCCATGTCTGAAAACACTGTGCTGTGGGCTGTGGCCAGTCAGATGCAGCCTAAGGACCAGCTTCAGTGCCCAGGGGTGAAGGAGAGAGGAGGTGGACAGCAGGAAGCACACAAGCTGAACCTTTCTGCCCATTCATCACAGCCGTGAGCCTGGTGTTGTTCAGGAAATTGTCTTGCCAGCTCTACCACTTCAAGGATGCTTTTGTTGTCACAACTGCTATGGCTACAGAGATAAATCATTTGATGTGTACACAAGATCGATGATATGTGAGTGTGCTGCTTGTAAGTAAATGAGTACAGTGTAAGGTAGCTGACTTGACATGTGTTTCATCAGGTCTGACCCTCCTAACCTGCCATGTGTCAAGTTCCAGAACATCTGAGGCTTAAAGTCCCACCAAAATACAGCAGGTGGATGTATTGGCTAGAAAGCTATTTTGGGCTACAGATAGTAAAACTACCTATAGATGTAGTTGTTAGTAATTCAGAAGTCTGATGTGTCTGTTAAAAAATGGTCCTTGTTTCTTTAGCTTGGTAAACTGATAACTCTGTTTTCGACCCTTCCAAAGACTGCAAGTTTGATCCAAAATGTTTTTCTTTGAAATCTGGCAAAGCTTGTTGGTATTAAGCAATATTACTTGAGCTAAATTACTGGTTTCTCTTATTGAGCCAGCAGCAAGTGATCTTGAATAGAACATTTCCTGCTACCATTTTTTCCTGGAGATGACTTTCATGGAGCGTGGTGGTGTTTGTTAAGATTAGAGATCACTTTGCTTACAAAGAATTTTCCAAGTTTGAAAGGAGGGATAAATCTGCTTATTTTGTTTAGTTTGAATTGACCTTCAAATTGGAGGTCTGATTTTTTTTTTTTTTTTTTTTTTTTTTTCTTTTTATGAGTCACCAAGTCTTGTTATAATGTATGGAAAACTGGAGTTTCCTTCAATGCCATTGCTTTGCTACTTCTTGTGATTTAAACCTACCTGCTTCTGGTACATTCCCTCTTTCTTCTTTTAGCAATTCATCAAAATGAAGAAAGCAGCAGTCAAGAGACAAGAGGACTAGAAGACCTCAAGGATACCTCTGATACTCAGGTAAATATGTAAGATTAATGGTATCTTGAGAACTTTTTCAGATCTACAAATTGAAGGATCTGCTTTCAGTAGCTCTGGGAAATGGCTTTTTGTCGATGTTCTGCACAAGGAGCCTGTAGGAAGGAGAAAGTCTGTTGGATCTTGTCTCCTGTGACTGTTTAGAATAAGATTGATGATTACTCTGGGAATTAATCCCATGATGTGGCAATCAGACAGCATTCTTCAAATATCTCTCTGCACTTTTTAGATAATACACACTGCATATACCAGATGTGAAAATAAAATGAGATGTGCTTAGGAGACAAGGGAGCAAGGGTATGTGACATCTTGATTGAATTTTAATCACTGTAAGTAGACATGCAGTGAAGTGAGGATACTTATTAGTCACTTGACTGTAAGAAACAGCCTTTCTCTTTCCATTCCTAACTGCCCTTATTTTCAACCAAAGCTAGATATTGCTCAGAACAAACCTAACTGCTTTTTAGAGTATTTTATTGTGGAATTGCTTACCCTTTTTAATCCTGAGAATCTTTTTTGATTAATCTCCAGTTCATGCAGTTGTTCAGTTCCTACATTGAAACTGTGCAAGTGTAACTATATTGCTCATTGTATTGGTACTGGTAATTGCTTTTAGTTTAAAATAGATTTCTCCCAGTCTTGACTGTTGTTTTTTTAATTCTATTCCTCTTGCAAATATTATGTTCCCCACCAGTTGCCACTTTTCCTTCTTCCCACATATGCAACTTGCAGTTCCTGTCTCTGATTTATCTCCTAACACCTTGCCCACTAAAAAGCTGTGTTTGCTGAAGTCAGGATTTGCACTGATGTCTGCAAGCAAGCCTGTCTGGAGGGGTACAAGCCATGTAGCCAGGGTAGCAGTAGCTATATATATTTCTGAGGGTATAGTCTGTCTTGACCACAGAGAGCCCAGGAGGGGCTGCAGGCAGCTCTGGCAGCAGACCTGGGCTGTGGCAGACACCTGGAGAGTGCAGGCAAAAGAGCTGGGGACCATACAGGTGTACCTGCTGCATCTGTGTGTATCTGGGCTTTTCTAGTGTAGTTTTCAGAGTTGTATTCAAACAAGGTGTTCAGAAATGGTCTTCTCTTAATTAATTATGCAGTTTCAGATCTATTAAAAAAAAAAAAAAGTAGGAGCCCTGATATCTATGAATTTTGGCTCTTGACTTTGATTCCTAATTGTGGGGTCAAAGGTCAGTTTTCTAAAGGTCAGGTGTGCATTAAAGAGCTATAGAAAAACCCCTGAGGGAAATACTGACCTCACTGCACAACAATATCTGTTTGCCTGTTTGTATTCATATATGTTCAGTTCTACTTGATTGTTGTAGCCTTTTTTTTATTGTTTAAATGTTTGTTCACACTTCTGCCAGAGATGCAAGAAGAAAGACGACAACATGTGTGCTCAAAGTTTTAAGTAGCCAGCTAGTAAGATTACATGAGCAGATTATTAAAACCCCTAAGTAGTTATCATTGGGATATTGACTCACTTAGCTTTTATATGTATGGAAACCAGCTTCTAAAATTTGAAAAAAATCAAAACATATTTAAAATAAAGCAATTATTAAGTGAGAAGTTAACAAAATTGTTCAACTGCCCAACTGGGAAGAGAGCAAAGCAACTATCCAAGCAGCTGTTTCTCCAATTTGTTTGTCAGTGCCATAAAAATGCCATCCTGCAAACACCAAATACAATTTGGTTTAAGAGTGGGAATTTTTTTTTTTTTTTTCACTTTAGTGAGACTATGTATGTGACTGGAGCAAAGCAAATGATCTTTTGAGGCAGTAGCAGTTTTAAGTTTTCAGGTTGATTAAAGGTGAAGCCTGTAATAGTTCTGTCATTTTCACCCGACTTGGACAGAAATGCAGTGGAAAAAAACCAAACCACCACAAATCCTGTCTGTTAGCAGAGTTGAAGGAAGTGGTGCCTAATCTCAGCCTTGTTCGGGGACATGGCGTTTTGACTTACATAGGAATTAGTAAAGACAGCTGGAAGAAGTGTGGAAAAAATTAATTACAGGGATTTTTTTTAAAGTGAGGATGCTGTAAACAATATAAATAATGTCTGATGTAAATGAAGAATCCCATCCTGTCTGCCTAGGACTGTCTTAATTCACTGCTGTGTCACTGCTACCATATTCCTTTATGACCTTTGCAGAGGCAGTATTTTCCAATGGATGTGCTGAAACAGAAAATGTGTTGTCAGCATCTTTGCTGTTCCAACCTCGTTAATGACTGATTTGCTTTCCTTCACACTAAATGTTTTAATTTCATTTTCAAATTGCATGAACACCTTTAATTGTCGTAATTTTGTGTTGTGGTTTGTAGTAAAGCCTTACTATAAAGCTCCTAGCTCTTTTACCATTAGTTAAATTAAAGCCAGTTAAAATATGCAACTTTGTGATTTGCATCTTCACATAAATTAGTAATTGTATCTCTGTTGGTTTATGTGAATTAGAGGACTAAGCACCAACATCCAGGCAGGAGGGATTTGGGAGAGTGTGTGACTGTACAAAATACAAATGGAGATTGCAATTTCCAAGTAGGCTGCCTTGCCTTTGCCCTTTCAGCTAACCAACAGATTTAAAGGTTGACAACTGAAAAGGACCAACAACAGGAGACTCTATCAATAACTTCCCCACCAGCTTTTAGAATCTGCTATCAATTAATTAGTTGACCTGTGTGCTTTCTTAGGAATATTTAACAGAAAGATTTATAGTGGAAAATCAGCAAAACTGAGAAAATCAGAATTAAAAGTGAGGTGTTCATATTTTTTTTTTCTTAATTATGAAAAGGCACGTTTAGCCTTTTGTATTTCTGTTGCATTTTTACCCCCAGAGCCAAGCATGTACAATTAACTGAATAATACCTTAGCCTTCCCAGAAAATTTTTAGTTCACCATTTATACCCTGGAAACCCAATCAAATAAATATATTTTTCATGTTCAATGCAATTCTTTTAAGTAAATAATAATTGAGGCAGGAGAGGATGTGTTAAAATGTAATATTTCTTCTTGGTGGTTATTTGAAACAGGCCAATCTGATTTTGTAATGAAATTGCCAATTTTAATACAGACCATGTTCCTAGCAGGGCTAATGAGCTTGTTTCTAGAGTCACTTATTCCCTGGGGTGCTCATCCATGCAGAAACCAATAATATGCTCTTTCTGAGCACAGGCAGAGGGCAAGGGGTGAAAGAGCATGAGGTCCAAGAGTTACAAAAATTCCCTTTCTCTGGGATGTTTCTACCACTTGAACATACTGAAGCCAGCTGTTACCCCAAAATGGAAAGCCCCCTTCCTCATCTTAACACAAGTAGTTTTGACCGCTGGGCTTTACTTCATACACTGAGGATCAATAAGTATTTGTTCAGAAAATCAGCAGGGTGAGCACTGCGTTTCTGTCGATGTCCCTCTGACGTACAAGCCCTCGTAACCATCTGTGCCGCTCATAGGTCATGGTCTGACTTGGCTGGGTGCAACACAAGGGTGTGAAAAGTATCTCCGCAGTAGTAAGATCCCAGATCCAGAGAGACTGTAAATCTTTACGGTCCCAAGGCCCAAATAGGCCATAAAGCTTTGAGTTGTCCTTAGCCTACAATCCTGGGAGGATTACAGTGTGTAGGTGTTATATGTACTCTGTTAGAGGCATCCCTAAGCCATGTCATAAGCAGGTTGACTCTAGCTGATGTCCCCAAGCCATCAAAGTGTTGTGAAGTGCAGACACCAGACCTCAGCCAAGTCTGTGATGATTGCCTAGGTTCCCTGTGAAAATTACTGGACAAAAAGGAGAATTTTAGGAAACAACTCATCTGGCCTTTTAAAAATGTCTACTGTAGAGAAAAAAGCAACAAACAAAATCTTCTTAAGTGCCTCTTTCATATGGTATCGATTAAACAGCTCTGGATAGCTATTTCAGTATATTCTTCCACATTTGATGAAGTCAGTCTCATTCCTGACCTGCAGGTAACAACAGTGTGTCAGAACTGTCTATAAATCTATATACCTGATTTAGAAGATAAGGAGCTAATCTATAGGAAATGTAAGGTTCGGTGCTGCAATTCCTTGTTTTCTTAGCAGATTTCTAACCTTCAAGCCAGTGTGTAGGTTCCTTAGGTGGAAAAGCTGAGTTACTCAGGAGGCTGAGGGCTAAGCAAAAGACACACAGAGCACAGGCTGCACCTGAAATTCTTCTGTTCTCCAGAGCAGAAGTGCCTGATGCAGGCTTGTGAAGAGGTGCTTTCATCCAGACTGGAGGGATGTAGGAATGTAAAAATTTCTTCGGGAAGGATGACTCCTTGGACTCAGTCATGGAACCTGTTTTTTTCCATCAGCATGAAAGCACTTATTCAGAAAGTGGATTTATTACACTTCTCAGCTTAAAAAAAAATCTTAACTAACACGTCCCTTTTCCTTGGAGAAGCCAGCAGACTGCAGGGTGGTTTGGGTGGGCACTCTCAAACCTTCAGCTGGTATGGGTGGGAGTTTCTCAAGGCTGCATGGAGCCTGCGTGGCACTATGGGTTAGTGGTCAGGGCATCCCTGGCTTTTGGTCCTGACTCCTAAGATGTTTTATGAGTTTAGTTGTACCTGATTCAGTAAAACTCAGGATGAACAGCAGAAAGAAAAGGGAGGAGGAAAGGTTTATTTGCAGATTGCCCTTTAAATTGTATAGTAATACCATAGCCATGCCACATGATTGGCCCTCCCAAGGCGTATGATATTCCCATCAGGAAACATCTGGGCTCATAAAAGCCATGTGGTATCATCAAGCCAGGTCTCAGTTATGCAGAGGCTGTATCAGTGACCAAATAATGGACAGTGATATTAGCCGCTGACTTTGCAGGGAGCGGT